TGGACGACTTCTGCGTCGCCCACGACAGCGTCGTCTCGAGCGTCCTCCCCATCACGAACTTCTCCAACGAAGCCCTCTCCTCGGCGCTCTTCCTCGCCCTGACCCTCACCACAGTCTTCATGACCACCTTCGCCTCCGTCTTCCCCTGGCGCCTCATCGCACTCGTCGCAGGCTGGGGCCTCATCCTCTCCGGCCACCCGGCCATCGCCCCGCTCCTCACGCACACCCACGACACCCACGTCGCCCCGCACCAACCCCTCGCCCGCTCGAGCGTCGAGGCCTGGATCGCCGCAGACATCATCCTCGACTCGGCCCCCGAGACCCGCGAGGTCGAGATCTTCGAGCTGCAGCGCCAGTCCCACGACGAGTGGGAGCCCTGGCTCTTCTCCCCGTCGCCGTACGACCCGCTCTCCCAGCCGCGCATCGCGGGCGAGCGGCCCCGCGGCACGCGCTTCTTCGAGGACGTCCTGCCGCCCGACGGGTGGGAGTGGTCCGAGAAGAAGTGGGCGCTCGACCTCTGGAGCAGGGAGTGGGTCGAGGAGCGCATCATCACGGGCGTCGAGGTCGAGACGGAGGGCGAGCGCTGGGTCTACGACATGTTCGACGAGAACTCGAGCTTCTCGGGCGGTGTCATGGACTCGCCCACCACGGCCAAGGGCAAGGCGAGGGTGCCCGCGGCGCCCACGCTGAGCTGGGAGGAGGGCGAGGACGGCACCGGGCGCAGGGGCGAGTGGAGGAGGCGGAGGTGGGTTCGGCTCGTCAAGAGGAGAGCCACGACGAGCCCTGCGTAATGAGTGTGGTTTAATGAGTTTTTCTGTGTGGGATGAGCCAACGAGCTTGTTGGGATTGTATTATATGATGATGAATAACATGAACATGCTTCAAACCAAATCTCGATAACCTAGTGATTTTGATGAATTCGTTCGGACATCATTGCTCTTACTCTCCCACAGGGCAATAGCATACTGTTGAGGATTCGTCTCATCATAAAAGTCCATTTCCATTAACACAGACGCCGAGGGAATCATTACCCCCATCACGCGTCTGCGCATGTCTGTAACTGCCTAAATCCAGGTCCAAGTCTAAATGCAGCCGTCCGGCGTGCCAGCCGGGATTCTCTGTAACACCAAGAAAATGCCATCCTGTGCTTTCTCACCTTCCCTTGAACAACACCAAGGGGGGCGAGGGAAATCTGCGAGGCAAACACACCAGGCTTACCTTTCCCAGACCAATGCTCCGTGACATTAAACCCCCCGGGTATGACGTTTCCAATCCTAAACCCCCCAAAAGCCCCTGATTTATCTCTTCAATGGCACAAAAGTCTTCAGATGATCATCTTGTCCAGAATCATGTGGATGCCCTTGTTCAGGCCCCGTCCCTCGTCAATGTCATCCGCCAGCTTCCGGCCGCGGTCGATGAGCACGCCGACGACCTGCTTGGTGTAGTCGAAGCTGCCAGTGCTCTCCATGCGCGACACGGCGTAGCGCTTGACCTCGACGTCGTTCGTCTTCTGGCCGAGGATGTTAATGAGCTTCAGGTCGGAGGGGTCGCAGCGGATGCTGTGGATGATGGGGAAGCTGAACTTTCCCTCCGTCAGGTCCTCGCACATGCCCTTATTGTCCGAGTACTCCTGGCTGGAGAGGTTCATGTAGTCATCGCGGATCTGGAAGGTGAGGCCCATGATGTTGACGAGGTCGACGCAGTCCGTGAGGCTGCGAGACTCGGCCTGCATGAGCTTGATGCCAAGGCGGAAGAGGCCGCCCGTCTTGTTGCCGACCATCTCGAGGTAGTCCTCCTCGGTGGGACAGGTGAGGGTGTCGCGCCAGAAGAGATCCATGCCCTGGCCGCGGTGCAGGTGGACGAGCTCTTCCGCAAAGATGGAGATTGCCTTGGAGTTCTTAAGCTTCTGGACCTCCTGCAGAGCGCAAAAGTAGATGTAGTTGGCCGAGTTGATGGTCTGGGCCACACCAAAGATGTTGTGGGCAACGGGCAGGCCGCGGCGCAGGGAGGACGAGTCCTCGACATCGTCGATGAGAAGGGAGGCCGTGTGGAGCATGCCGACGACGTTTGTGATGACGTCGAGGCTGGACTGGGGGACGTCAAGGAAGATGTTGAAGGCCTGGATAAGCTGGGCGCGAAAGTCCTTGCCCGGGTGGGCGAAGAGGTAGTCGAAGGGGCCGGTGATGACCTTGTCCTTCTCCTCGGGCCAGGCTTTGCGAGTGAAGTTGAGGTCGGCGGTCGCGTAGCGCGAGGGGTCGGGAGGCGGAGGAGGCTGCATCGTGCCGGTGAAGGAGGTTGTCGTGAGTGCGCCGGAGGGACGGCGGCGGTGGGAGGAGGAAGAATGAGAGTGCTTGTGGGTGCGGGAGCTGACGGAGGCGGCGCGGTTGAGCCAGTCGGTTTCGGGGACGGTGCGGAGGGGTGCTTTGGACGATGTCGTCGGCACGGACGCCGTGGGTTGGGCAGATAGAGAGGAGGCAACTGTTGCGGCGGCGGCGGCAGTTGTTGAGGAAGAAGACGAGTGGCTCGTTGAAGATCTGCGTGGGGGTATGGCGTTTGGCGGAGAGGAGGGGAAGGAGGGGTTATTTGAAGGATCTGAGGGTTTGGTGCCTGGGTCGCTTGTTGGAGAGTTGTCGTTAGGCACGCCCATCGTGAAAGGGAGCCTCTTTGCAAAGGCGGACCGGAAGATGCGTGGCTTCTTATGGGTGGCGGCGCCTGGATCTGGAACAGCCGCCGTGGCAGCCGCAGCAGAGACAGCAGTAGCTTCTACCACGGGCCGGAGCTCAGCAGAGCTCGCGTGGTGGGTAGCTTGGTGGAGCTCTTTTCCCCGGTGGGCTGCGGAGGAGGTGGGATCGGTCGTGGTAGTGGTAGTGGTGGTGGTGGTGGTCAGCCGGCGGTGGTTATGCTGTTCGCTGTTGGTCAGCTCGTGTCAACGTCACCACTCTGTTCATCCAAGCTTGTGGGCAGCTGTTTTTTCCCGTACCCCGGTAGGAGGTCTGATTTGTTGGGAGGTGGGGATTTCTGCTTGTCCGCGTATGCACGTATCGTTCCTTTTGCTTGGAAACGCCGTATTTGTCCGTCTGCATGGTGTCCTTTGGCAGGGGTAATTGGGATGTAGGCCGTCATGACTTTGTGCAGAGGACTCTTGCGTTGTCGTAAGGTAGGGAGAGCCAGGGTTGGAGCAAAGGGATGAGGCAGCTGGATCACTGATCCTTGCTTTGTTGAAGCTTTCCGCTGGAGAATTGGGCCAGGCAGCTCAGTCCTGGCTGGCAGTCCTAGCAGGTCCTGTATCTGTAGGCAGGCAGACGCAATGAAAACAGGCAAGAGAGCAGAGGAGCAATCACATGCCAATAGACTGCAGCTTACCCACCTTGAACATGCAGCAGCAGTTGCAGGTGTTGATGGGACCTGCCGCGTTGTTGGAGCTCTTATCGATTGATTGTGGGGAGTTGTTGGACTTTGGGTTGGGGCGAAATCTGGCAGACGTCATCAATTCCCAGGCGGCAGCTTGGGTATTGCTGGGGTCGGGGTTTGGTAGAGACCGAGATCCAGAGGGAATGGCGGACTTTTCTCCGAAGTGCGAGTGATGAAGATGAAATTGGCAAAAGTCCGGCAATGAATAAATTTGGGTTTCTCGGAAGGCTGCTTCGGTGAGGTGGACTATCCGCGCATAGGTGTAATAGAAAAAGGGCAGAGAGACAAGCTGCGACTAGTAAAGGCAGCAAGAGGTTCGTGCGAAGGCTTCGTCTTAAGAAGCGGCGGCTGCGGTGGGAAGAGGGAGCCAGACAGACGCCAGACGTCTGCAGTAGACGGGATTGGGCTTCTAGAAGACAGAGTCGCTGGCCTCAACTTCCGCTAAGCACTCTCGGATGGCACGTAAAACACTCCGATGAACCCCTCCTGGTGTGCCCTGCCGTTGTTCATGCCTTCACCTCGCATCCTGCCAACCGGGTCGCGATGTCGCCGTGGCTCGTCGCTGCCAACCTGGATTCCAAGACGCTGAAATGTGCCATCCCCTCGCGCCGTCAGGTTTCATCTGCCATATGTGCCGCTCTTAAGCATCCGCTGCCGCTGCGACAGACCGACGCCTCCTGCAGAACCAAGGCCGGTTAATAGGACCCGTGGACATGTGGCCGGCCTGGGTCGTCTCCGAAGATCGCAGCAGACATACCGAGGGCAGAGGGCAGCTGTTACACGGCAAGGTAGTAAGCTCGAATCCTCAAAAAAGGGACTCGCTTATTCTAATCTCAATACCTAATCGCCTGCCCAGAACAAAGTCAAACGGCAAGGTAGCAGCGACAAACAACAAAAGACCTTGACCCTGAAATCCCAAGCTTGAATGCCGGGCCGGGCCCCCCGCAATGCGCCAACGCAGAGGTGCCTACGTTGATCGACCCGCTTATTCGTAGCTAACGGTGTGTGTGTGTGGTGACTGGTCACGCTGTTTGGGCCAAACAGAAGCTCGCTTTCCTCTGCAGGGCCACGCTAAATCCCCATCCCAACGCCTTGGAGATCGACCCGGTTGCCGGGGCATCAATCGTCGGGTCGCAACACAAACATCCACACCTGTCCACACGGCAATCAGCTACCGACGTCCTAGTCGCTGCCGCTGCTGTCTCTCTCATATGCTTATTACTTGCGCCGCGCGATCCATCACCTTGTGCGCTTCTTCCCCCTTCTTCTTTTTCCCCCTTCGGCACTTTCCAGTCATCCGATCGTGATACCCCCACAACCCCTAGAGGACTGGTGTTCTCGTCGGTTTTTGTTCTTGTTGTTTTTCTGCATTATCAACTTTCCGGCGTGTGCTGCTGCTGCCGTCAGACCCCGATCCCAGTCCGGCGTCACTCAATTGTTATCGATAATCGCATCGACAGATAATCGCATCGTCTCTTTTGTTCAGTCCGTTCCGCGCGCTCGAGACCGACCCCGTCCACCACAGCAAATCAGCCACCAAGCCACGGCGGCCTCCTCACAAACATCGTCACGACCACCGATATTCAAACATGGAGAACCTCCTCAGCCTCGCCTTCGACTCCCTCTCCTCCTACGATGGCCCCAAGGTCCGCAAGGGCCTGCGCCAGGTAGAAGGCCTCCTCGCCCAGATCTGCCTCTCAGCGCCGTCAAGGTCATCAAAGTCGCCGGCGACTGACGATGAGTCAGGCCGCTCGAGCGGCAAGTCTCTGTCCGACCTGTCCGACGACCTGGCCTTCCGCGAGTTCTTCAAGCTGCAGGAGGGTTTCGAGTGGAACGTCGCCCTGCGCCTCATCAACACCCTTGACCGCCTCATGGGCAAGGGCGCCGATGGCCAGAATGACCTCCTCATCCTCAGCTCGCTGGATCTGATCCAAGGCGTCCTGCTCCTCCACCCACCAAGCAAGGCACTCTTCTCGAGAGAACAAAACATGAACGTATGTCTGATCCCAACGCCCCTTCCAAATTCCACACGCTGACCCCCCCGCACAGCTCCTCCTCGACCTCCTCGAACCCGTCAACTGCCCGGCGATCCAATCCGCGACCCTTCTCGTCCTCGTTGTGGCTCTCATCGACACCCCCCTGAACACGCGCACCTTCGAGGCCCTCGACGGCCTCCTCACCGTCACCTCCCTCTTCAAGTCCCGCTCCACCGCCCGCGAGGTCAAGCTCAAGCTCGTCGAGTTCCTCTACTTCTACCTCATGCCCGAGGTCCCCTCCATCCCGCGCGCCGACGCCCGCGTCTCCGTCCCCGCGATCCACCAGCGCAGCCCCAGCAAGCTCGCCGGGGCCTTCGCGGGCGGCAACTCCACCGCCTCGGATGCTCAGCACTACGCAAGGAGTCGCGCCGGCAGCGAGTCCGCCGACACCCTGACCACAGAGGAGAAGCAGGAGCTGCTGGGCCGCCATCTCAGCAGCGTCGAGGACCTGGTCAAGGACCTACGGACGTGCGCGCCCTTTGGCGGCGTCGTTTGCTGAGCCATGTGGGTGTGCATACAACTTCTGAAGGGGATCGGTGTCTCGTGTTTGGTGTTTCTGGTCGTCTTGGGGTTTCTCCTTCTTTCTTCAATTTTTCTCAGACTCGCATGCGTTCATCATCGCTTCTTCCAGTCTTCATTTGCATCCTTCATACTGTTTGGCGTTCGCGGAGGGCAGGAATGTGACACGAAGGATCAATGTCTATCGTTTTTTGTTATTTTCTCCAAGGAAACGGTCGGTCAAGCGGGTTTGCTCTTCACGCCAAAAAGGTTTCCTACCACTCGTCATCGCATAATAAGTATTCTTACAAGAGAGAGAATTTCCGAAGGCATCGGGAATCTGTGTAACAAAAAATGTACCGTCGCTCGTTTATTACTTCAATGCAGGCGTCTCAAAAAGACAGATATGAACACGAGAACAGAGAGAAAACACACAGCATCAGCCAACTCCTCGAACCCCCTCACCGTCGCCGTGGTTCCGGGCTCGGCGCCGGTCCAGGCGTCCTATCGATCGGCGACCTCTCCATCATACTAACGCTCCTCGAGCTCGGCGTCATCAGCGGCGGCGACGGCATCCCCGGCGACGTCGGGCTGGGCATCTCGCTCCCGTACAACTCGAACCGCCCCTCCGTCGTCGGCGGCGAGGACGGAGCCAGCGCCTGCTGCGACACAGACGTGACCGCGGCCGGCGCCCCTCTCTTCACGCGCGAGTCGATCTCCACCGGCGCCACGACGTCGCTCGGCGAGTGCGCCTTCAGCGGCACGCCGCGGTGCCGGCCCGGCGACGACGCGACCGTCGCCGCCCCCTCGGCTGACGCCACCGTCTCCGTCTCCGTGTACGGCCCCGCCACGGCGTCCGGGCCGAAGTAATCCTGCGTCGCGCCGCGGCGCGCCGTCGGCCGCGAGCCGGATGTTACTTCCGACATGGCGCGCGCGCTGCGTCCCGGCCGTGAGGACGCTGCTGCCCCGCCGATGACGTTGCTCAGCCCCCCGCCGCCGCCGCCGCCGCCGCCGCCGCTGCGCTGGGATGAGGCCGTCATGGTGGTCGCTCCGCGGCGGCGACGGCGGCGGACGAGGCAGAACCACGCGAAGACGCCGACGAGCGCGAGACCGACCACAGACACGCCCACGCCGATGCCCGCCTTCGCGCCCGCTGACAGCCCGCCGCCGCCGCCGTTGCTGTCCGGGTCGTACGTCACGTCCGTGGCGGTGGGGTTCCCCGGCGCGCAGGCCGCGGTGCCGGAGACGCTGGTGCAGTGCATGAGGTCGTCGCAGCAGCCCTGGCCGTCGGCGCAGGCGTGCTGGGTGGTTGCGGTGCAGCCCGGGTCCGCGGGGGTGAGGCCGCCGGCGGTGGAGGACGGCGTGGCGGAGATGGTCTGGATGCACTGCTTGGAGGAGGCGCAGGTGTTGCCGTACGGACAGCAGCCGCCGCCGAACTGGTCTGCGCAGCGGAAGTTGGAGGTCGAGGGGCAGCCGCGGAAGCAGCAGTTGGACACAGTGGAGGATGTGACGGTCGGGTTGCCGGTGGTGGTTGGTGTTATCGTGACGGGGACGACGGTGGTGCATTGGTACTGCGAGGCGGAGCATTTTGAGTCGCAGTTGGAGCCGATCTGGCAGCACCACGGGTCCCCGTTCGGCTTGACGTAGCAGTAGTCATCGTTGGAGCAGCATTGGTCAGGGAAGCCTATGTCGAGGCCTATATCACATTTCAATTTGTTAGAACCAGCTCACATATTCATGGCCTTCTTCTCGGGATGTTTTGCAGGAGTCTCACATGAATGCGCGTTCGCGGGACAAGGAGCCCCGTCGCGGGCCACGAGACGGGGCTCGTCGATGAAGAAACGCGGGACGAGGGCGCCGCCGCCGCCTGCTGGTGACATGTCGACGGCGGCGTACCGTCTCTGTCCGGCGGCCGCGCCGGCGCAGATGGCTAGCGCGGCGACCACGAGAAATGCCGCCATTTCGTCTTCTCGGATATTGGCGCTTTTCTTCCTGAATCACCACGGAGAGTCTTGATAGCACAGAGGCGACAGCTCGGCCAGCTAGGGTGTGGTGTAGCAAAAAAGAGACGTCGTGTGTTCCGCGACGAGGCTCAGGAGCCCATTGTCCTCGGTGCGACCGGCGGAAGGCTACACCAGATTGTGAAGAGGGTAAGACCGGGAAACCAGAGGTGGACAAACACACAAGACCCAGATATGAGGGATTGGAGGGCAATGTAAGCAAACCTCGACAGGGCCGGGTTCTGTCAGATGCGAGGATGCATGCGACTCAATGGAGCATAGTCGATATTTTGCCCTCCCCTCCGTAAGCACAGCTTGCCCGCCTTTCCTGCTCCCCTCACAGCATTGCGCGTTACCCTCCGCGCTGCTTCACATACTTTCCAGTAACTTAGGGTCCAACAAGGCTTGCGCGAGTTTTCGGGACGAGGAAGCGGGCATGGCAGCGCAGCTGCCCGAAGGCGCAAGAGAACCGACCCTGGCCTGCATATCACCAGAGCGGATATGCGAAAGGGAAGCATTTGCCCCTCTCAGCACCTCTCGGCCGCCACCGAAGACTTTGGTAGACGGAGGTGATTGGTGGCCTGGTTGTATCGTTGGCTCGCCTGCCTGCAGATGGTCGTGGTGGTGTGGCTGCTGGGCCGCTGGGCTGCATATCGGGAAGCCTGGCCCCAGTGTGAACCGATGCAGGACATTGCTCGTCTGCTCCCGCGCGCGATGTGCGGCAATAGGTAGCGGCGGAGGAGCCGAATGGGCCGGTTGGTGTTGAAAGATGAGAAAAGACTTGCAGCTTGCTTCGTTATCTGAGATTGATGATCGCGTGAAAGCACGGATTGGGTCATCTTTGCGACTCGGAAATGAGATTTGTTGATGACACACTGGTGCCCTTGGTACGGCCTTCATTCAAAGGCTGGGCGCATCACACCTTCATGTACTTGAAGAAGTAGATAAAACTTCAGACCCGTTGACGCTGGGCATTGGTTCATCTTGCATCTTGCTGTTGGATGTCAATTGCGGTCGCTCTCTCAAACCCCACGCTTGCTTCTCAGAAGCGCTCAACAGCAGCTGCCGCTGCGTTACCTGCAGATGAGCAAACATTTCCAATGTCCATGTTCCAGAACACTTGGGGAAAGTCGTGAATAGATTACAGCGGAAATTTCGCCCGCCAAAAAGAAACACCCGGAACGGAAGTGAAGCTTCACGCACAGGGCCCGGCCCGCCACGCGCTACGAAACCCGTCCGTCCCGTCCCCAGAAACGGCCCTAAAGCAACGGCAGCTGGCAGAATCCCCTCTCGCGGCAGGCGGTCTGCCCACCAAACCATACCCCCGCCAAGGCACCGGCACCTTTACCCCTCCAAACTTTCCTCGCCGAGCCCGCCCGTACAGGTCTGCCGCAAAATTGAAGATATTCCCAAACCACGCCAATCCAGCTGCTAGCCACCGACCTCCTCGCCTCTCCTCCATCTCCTCCTCCACCTGCGCCACCCACCCTCACCAAATCACACAACACACAGACATCATGGCCACAACAGAACCGACACAATTCCCCCTCCCCCCGCTCCTAACCCACCCCTCCTCCTCCGCGCCAGAGCTCATCACCCAAGGCGCCGAAGCCCGCCTCTACAAAACCACCTTCCTCGCCCCCTCCACCCCGTCCGCCCTCAAATACCGGCCCCCGAAGCCCTACCGCCATCCGACCCTCGACGCCCGCCTCACCCGCGCCCGCATCCTCGCCGAGGCCCGCGTCCTCGCGAAATGCCGCCGCGAGGGCTGCCCCGTCCCCGCCCTCTACGCCCTCGACGAGGCCGCCGGCTGGATCATGCTCGAGTGGATCCCGGGCGCCCCCGTCCGCGTGCGCATCAACGAGTGGCTCGACTCTGTTGTTCCCAGCCAGCGCCTGGCTGGAGTTCCCGAGGAAGAGACAGATGATAAGGTCATGGCGGACACACAAGAAGCAACAACAACGCCAGAAGAAAAGGCTGCCGCAGCCCCGCGACGAGACGCCACGGAAATCAAGAACCTGATGAGGAGGATGGGCGCCGCCGTCGGCAAGATGCACAAGATCGGGATCGTACACGGGGACCTCACCACATCCAACATGATGCTCCGCCCGCCAAAGCCTGCTGCTGCCATCACAAACGGGGAGGATGCCTCGAAATTGGACGGGGAGATCTTCATCATCGACTTTGGATTGGCGAGCCAGAGCACCTCCGACGAGGACCGCGCGGTCGATCTCTATGTCCTCGAGCGCGCTTTCGGCAGCACGCATCCCCGTGCCGAGGAATACTTCCAGGATCTGCTGGACGCCTATCGCGCATCATACAAGCAGGCCCCCACGACTCTCAAGAAGCTCGAAGACGTGAGGATGAGGGGCAGGAAGAGGAGCATGATTGGTTGAGACATCTTGTTGGAGATTTAGATAAAGGTTCAAGAAAAGAAAAAAGGAATGAATTTGATACCCCTCGGCCGGAAGAGTATTTTTTCGACTGCATCTACCACATCTGATACGTTGTCCACATTCTCTGGTACTCTTCTGTACATTTCTCAAGTCCGTCATGTGGCTCTGAAAGGTGCATTCCTGCTGAGATGCCTATCTATAACATGCCAAAAAAGGTTGACTAAACCCCCTGCCCCCATAAAAATAAAAATTCCCGACGCCAGGTATAGTAATAATGCCCTATGATATAAAACGCCGTTATCATGCTATTATTAGTCGATTCCCATACCGACTTTCCAGACCCAGCTCATTATTGAGCGTTTGTCGCAGACATATGTGCAGACGCGCAAGCGCCGTCTTTGTTCCTTCTCTTTACTGTTGCTTGATGGCGCACTTTGTTTCAAACCACTTTGCAAACCGCACCGTCGGGATATCAAAGAGCCGCCAGAAAACGTCCGCGGCCCAAATGACTGCGGGAATGCATCCGAAAGACCCAATGACGAAGCCGGTGTTGTACCAGTATCCCTCGATACCCGTGCGGCTGTAAACGAACCTCTCAATGGTGT